TAGGTAGTTCATCATATTCAAATCAATAAACATGCCATAATGAGGAGAAAATAATCATATTATCATTTCAGTAGATGCAGCGAAAGCATTTGACAAGATTTAACAACCTTTGATATAACTCTCAACAGATTAGGTATAGAAGGAAAAAATAAAGTTCTTATATAACAAGTTTACAACTAACATACTCACTGATGAAAAGCTTTCATCAGGATCAAGATCAGGAACAAGATAAAGGCATCCACTCTCATCACTTCTATTCAACTTAGTACTGGAAATCCTAGCCAGCACAATTAGGCAAGGAAAAGAAATAAAAGGCATCCATATCAGAAAGGAAAAAGTAAAATTGTGTTTGTTTACAGAATACATTATCTTACGTATAGAAAATCCTAAAGACTTCACCCAAAAACTGTTAAAACTAATGAATTAATTTAGTAAAGTTGCAGGATACAAAATCAAACAAAAACTGGTTGCATTTCTATACACTAACAACGAATTATCTGAAAAAGAAATTAAGAAAATCCCATTTCTAATTGCATCAAAAAGAATAAAATGCTTAAAAATAAACTTAACAAAGGAGGTAAGAGATCTGTACAATGAAAATTATAAGACATTTCTGAAAGAAATTGAAGACAAATAAATGGCAAGATATCTCATGTTCATGGATTGAAAGAATTAATATTGTTAAAATGTCCCTGGTACACAAAGTGATCCACACATTCAGCTCAATCCCTATCAAAATTCAAATGTCATTTTTTACAGAAATAGAAAAAAGCAGGCATAAAATTCATATGGAATCATAAAAGACCCCAAATAGCTAAAACAATTTTGAGCAAGAAGTCCAAAGTTGGAGGCATTTTACCTCCTCATTTCAAACTATATTACAAAACCATGGTAATCAAAATAGTTTGGTATTGGCATAAAAACATACAGATCAATGGAACAGAATAGAGAACCCAGAAATAAACCCACATATATATAGTCAACTAATTTTTGACAAAGGCACCAAGAATACACAATAGGGAAATGATAGCATCTTCAATAAATGGTATTAGAAAATTGGATAATTACATGCAAAAGAATAAAATTGGATCCTTATCTCATACCATACACAAAAATCAACTCAAAAAGGACTAAAGATTCAAATTAGAGACCTGAAACTAAAACTCTTATAAAAAAAACATAGGGGAGGGGCACCTGGGTGGCTCAGTCGTTAAGCGTCTGCCTTCGGCTCAGGTCATGATCTCAGGGTCCTGGAATCGAGCCCCACATTGGGCTCCCTGCTCAGCGGGAAGCCTGCTTCTCCCTCTTCCACTCCCCCTGCTTGTGTTCCTGCTCTCGCTGTCTCTCTCTGTCAAATAAATAAATAAAATCTTTAAAAACAAACAAACAAAAAACTTAGGGGAGAAGATCATTGAGATTAGTCTTGTCAGTGATTTTTTGGATCTTACATCAAAACCAAATATGTAAGACTATATAAACTACAATGTTTCTGCACAACAAAGGAAACCATCAACAAACTTAAAAGGCAACTTATAGAATAGAATGAAACATTTGCAAAATATATACTCAATAAGGAGTTAATATCCAAGATACGTAAGGAACTCTTACAACTAATAGAAATAATAGTAATAATCAAGATTTATAATGGGCAAAGGACCTGAATAGACATTTTTCCAAAGAAGACATAAATATGGCCATCAGATGTATGAAAAGATCCTCAACATCAGTAATCATCACAGAAATGCAAATCAAAACCACAGTTACATATCACCTCGAACCTGTTTAAGATGGCTATTATCAAAAAATTAAAAGATAAATGTTGGCAAGAATGTGGAGAAAATGGAACCTTGTACACAGTTGGTAGGAATGCAAAATGATGCAGCTGCTATGGAAAACAGTATGGGGGGGGGTTCCTCAAAAAGTTAAAAAATAGAACTACCATAGGATCCAGCAATCCCACTTCTGGGTACTGATCTAAGAGAATTGAAATCAGGATCTCAAAGACAAATTAGCACTCTGATGTTCATAGAAGCAATATTCACAATAGCCAAGATACGGAAACAACCTAAGTTTCTATTGATGGATGGATGAAGAAAGCCTAGAAGGGAATATATTATTCAGCCTTGCAAAATCTGCAAAATATTGGATATGGATTAAGTTGGGGCCATTATGCTAAGTGAAATGAGCAGTTACAGAAAGACAAATACTGCATGAATCCATTTATATGTGGTATCTAAAATAGTCAAATTCATAGAATCGAAGAGTAGGGTTAAAGGGGAGATGGGAAGTTATGAATCAGCAGGTATAAAGTTTTAATTAAGCAAGATGAGTAAGTTATAGAGATCTGCTATACAATGTTGTACCTATGGTCAACGATACTGTATAATACAGTTAAAAACTTGTTAAGAGGGTAGACGTCATGTTAAGTGTTTTTACCATAATTAAATAAAATTAATTTTAAAAAGACTGAAAATAATTTAATCAAGCACCAACTCGAGAAAGGGAAGATCAACAAAGAATGCCCAAGAAAGTAGAGGAAGGAAAGAATAGAGTGCAGCTATTAATTAAATAGGATTCTAAAAAAGTAAATGGGAAGACTCAAATTCTGTTTGTGTTTAAAAAGTACTGACAAGATAAATGAAGAAAAAGAAGATATAAATAAATTTCAGAGTGAAGGAGAGAAACATAATGAGAGACATAGTAGATACACCAGAATTCTTTTTTTTTTTTTTAAGATTTTATTTATTTATTCGAGAGAGAGATTGAGAGAGAGAGAGCACATGAGAGGGGATGGGGTCAGAGGGAGAAGCAGACTCCCTGCTGAGCAGGGAGTCCCATGCGGGACTCAATCCTGGGACTCCAGGATCATGACCTGAGCCGAAGGCAGTCGCTTAACCGACTGAGCCACCCAGGCGCCCCAGATACACCAGAATTCTTAAAAGTAAGACAGAATTGGGAACTCCCCCCTTAGGCAAACTTTGCATAAAAGTTGAGATATTCTGTACTTCATTTTATGAAGTTATTTTAATCTTGATGTCAAAACCAGACAAAGGCAAAAAGAAGAGAATTGCAATTATTAGACCAATCTCATCTATAAACATATATGTAATCTTAAACTGTTAATAAACTAAATACAGCAATATATGTTAAAAAAATCTCATAACACTTGATCATGTAGGGTTTACCTAGAATGAAAGTATGATTTATCATTAATAAATTCATTATTACAACATACCCAATTAATAGACTTAAAAAATCTTTATGTTTACCTCAATACATACAGAAAAGCAATAAATGAAATTCAACAGTGCTTCATTATTAACAAAAAATCCTCATAGTAAACTGGTAATTGAAGGGAAAAATTTTCTGGCAATGGTCTCTATCAAAAAATATAAGTATTTGACTATATAGTCCAATAGTAGAAGCATTCTCTTTGAAATTAGGAAAAGATGTCTACTATCATGACTTCTATTCAATATTATGCCTGTCTTAGGCAGCACAGTAAAAGAAGATACAAGGATGGAAAATAAACAAAACTGCTACACACACACATACACACACACACACACACACTTACACCTAATGTGAAGTGAAATGCAAAATAATGTCTTGCCCAGGGACAGCTGGCGAATAACAGAGCCAAGAGTTCACACATAATTTGGCTCCAATGTCTGAACTCAACAACTTCTGTACTGTCCAGTGGCGCAGAGAATTGAGGAAAAAACTGTTCACTTCAAATGCAATCTAAATTGCAGGCATGCTTCTCATAAATTTCCTCACCAGCTAAATAATTAACCAGAAATTTACATGACTATTATTAGCAAAAATTTTTATTTCTCTTCCAATAGATTTAGTTCTTCGTGTTTTTAGATTTGTCCACTCTTTAGGTATGATAAATAGTGCCACAGTGAATATTGTTGGGTCTCTGTATGTGTAGAATAGTTTCTTTGAGGTTTATTTTCTGTGGATACAGTCATACGAGCAGCATTAACAGGTAAAAAATTGTGAACTATGGCTATTGGCATAAATTGGCAAATTTCTAAAGCAATTTGTGGTGACCCTGAAATATGATAAGTGAGTTTCTAAATATGTGATTAACTCATGAATTAAGAGCTTCTTTAAATGGTGCTTATACTTAGTAGTGTTTTGCTAACTTGTGAATATGGTATATTGAAGTCATTCTTTAAAACAGGTTTCTATTGCAAAATAAGTTAATTAATTTATTTTTTATTTTAGTTGTATTATTTTAATACATTTATTTTAGTTGTATTATTTTTTAGTATACATACAGTTATTATTGAAGCTAGAAGTTGGGAGCTTAATCATACAATTCTAATGTTTTATATGTTTAAAATTTTCATAATAAAAAACTGAGAAGTGCTTTTTTCAAACTACTTGAATTAATGTATAAAAAGCAAAACTATATAAGCAGAAGATTAGTTTTTAAAAGCAGATTTCAAACGTTCATATGGTGAAATATTTTGTTACATTTGATTTTCCTCAGAATTAGAAAATGGAAGGGGTCATCAAGTCATTTCATATGAGTATATATATTCATTTCAAATATATATATGTGTATATATATATATATGAGGCAGTAAAGCTTAGCGGGTAAGATCACAGAATTTGGAACCAAACTTCCTGCCTTTAAATCCTGACTCTACCATATACTAGCTCTGGGACTGCAAACAAATTACTTTTCTTAGATTCAGTTTTCTCTGTAAAAATGGTCATACTTATTTTTATTTTTATTTGTGATTACAAATTTATTTTTAATTTTGGAGCATTTTATGCCCAGAGTGATTGATGCCTCTATTTTGTTCCTTTGTTTCTGGGTAGGTGGAAACAAATTGTTCAAAATGTATAGTCTTTATGGGATAGAGAAGATATGGGCAAAGAAGGTATCAAAGAGCTGTTTCTCTGATTTTGGTTTGAACTTTCCTTATATTCTTGAATCTTTCTTCTTTTTTTCTTATTTGTTTTCCAGATTAAATGCATTTATGGAAAAAGAACAACTTGATGGTAAGACAATAGTAGAATACTGTAACACTGCAATGGATTCCTCAGCGGAAAACAGTACGTATGTAAACAAAGTGTGGGTTCAGTGTGAGAACGAAAGCTGTTTGAAATGGAGATCGTTGTCAAGTGAGGATGCAGCCAAAGTTGATCACAATAAACCATGGTACTGCTTCATGAACATTGATTCAAGATACAATAAGTGCTCTATTTCTGAAGAAGACTTTCCTGAAGAGGCTCAGCTTCATGAAAGTGGATTTAAGATTGTCTATTCACAGCTCCCTCTTGGAAGCCTGGTTTTGGTAAAATTACAGAATTGGCCAAGGTAAAGTTGTTGTTATTTCATAATAAACTATTGAGTTACAGTCTTGCTAAGTTGATGAATTTTTAAAACTTTTCAAAGAATCGACTTTTTTTCTACTGTTTGTCTAATTTATTTATTGTTTCCTGATCTCATCATTATTATCTCCCTGACATTTTGGGGTCTAATTCTTTTTCTTCTAGTTTCTTAAATTGGAAACTTTAGGTAACTGATTTAAATCTTTTTTTTCCTCTTGATATAGGCAACCACAGCTAAAAATTTCTCTTTAACCATAGCGTTAGCTATATCCCACAAATTTCGATATATTGTGTTTTATTACCATTCAGTTTCAAATATTTACTAATTTTCTGTGTGATGTCTTCTTTCAAATGATCTGTTAAAAATGTATTTTTACCTGACATTTGGGGATTTCTAAATATCTTATTGTTATTGAGCTCTAATTTAAGTCTATTGTCCAATGAGGATATTTATGAGCATTACTTTGAATTCTTTATCATACATATTACTTATCTGTTTCATTTAGCTGTTTTGCTGTGGTTTTGTCCTGTTCCTTCATTTGTGACATATTCCTCTTCCTCCTCATTTTATCTAACTCTCTTTGTTTCTGAGTATTAAAAAAGTCAGCTATGTCTCCTGATCTTGAAAGTAGTGGCCTTATGAAGAAGAGGTCCTGTGGTGGCCCATAGTGCAATGCCCCATGTTCACCAGAACCAGGGGTGTGTCCTATATGGGTTGCTTGCACCCTACTATTGTGGCTGAGCTGTGTTTGCCTCTAGTCCAGTTGGCTGCAATGGCCCACTTTGCTTGTTGTGGGTACACTGAGCAGAGTTTGGCCCTTGTGCCATTGAGGGATCAGTCTGGGGCTGTTGTGGGCTTGTGGTTGGGTAGCGTCAGCAGTCAGACCAGAGGCCTGTCCCCCAGTCCGCCCTGCTGGGGCTGTAGTTGGCCTGATCAACAGGGCATTCTCTCTGTGCTGCCAGCTATAAGTTTTGGCTACTGGGACTGTGGGTGCACTGGTGTGTGTGGTTATCTTCCCCTCTCCCAGGGAAGAAGTCATTTTGGAGTGGCGCCAGTCTCTGTTGGGGTTGCTTGCAGAGTGTATCAGGGCAGAAGCTGCTTTGGAGGGACACCTACTGAATCTCTTTTGTACTTCTTTATGAAATGAATTCTATTCTTTAAGAAGAGGTTTTTTTCAGTCTGTTTTCTCTCTGTTGTTCAGATTGGATCATTTCTGTTTTAAGTTTAAGTTAAGTTTTAAGTTCATATTCATTCTGCTATTGTGACTATCCATTGAGCTTTTTGTTTTAGTTATTGTATTTGCAGATGTAACATTTCCATTTGGTTCTCTCTATATCTTTTTTAATTTGTTAGATTTTCTATTTTTTTTTTTTTTCATTTGGGATCTTATTTAAATCTGTTTTAGCAGGCTGCCCCTACTACTGCACTGGAGAGATATGAGGGAAACTCTTGTTCCTTCTTTTTTTTTTAAAGATTTTATTTATTTATTTTACAGAGAGTGACACAGCGAGAGAGGGAACACAAGCAGGGTCAGAGGGAGAGGGAGAAGCAGGCTTCCCACGGAGCAGGCAGCCCGATGCAGGGCTCGATCCCAGGACCCTGGGATCATGACCTGAGCCGAAGGCAGACGCTTAACAACTGAGCCACCCAGGTGCCCCCCTCTTGTTCCTTCTTGCCAGATGGGAGTGGAAGTCTAGGTTTTCTACTCAGCCTCCACTTACTCTCTGGAAAGGGAGGGGTGCCTCATTACTGCTGGGCAGGGATGAGAGTTCAGGCTCCTCACTCACCAACTTGGCTGGGAGAGGTACGGGTACCTTGTTACTCACCTCCACTGATACCATGGGGGGAGAATCATGTTAATTCTGGAAGGTGATAATTCCAACTTCCCGGTAGTCCTCCTCTACCACTATCTGAGTGGGGAGGAAGTGGGGGCTTTATTACTGCTGGGTGGGTTGAAGTCCAGGCTCACCACTTGGCCTTTTTGATAAGGATAGAGATGGGAATCTGTAGATTTTTCCATGGTATTTGGCTGGGAAAAAAGCAGCTATTGCTTTAAAGTTTTCTGTCTTGCCAGGTTGCCCCTATCCTATCCTGGTCCTATGACTAGAAAGAGCAGGCTTCATTTGGAGTTTTTGTTCCTTTGCATCCAATGGTGTCTCTGGGTTGCTGGCTTCTTTAGCACCCAGTCTAGGATATATGAGGCAAAAAGAGCACTGAGAGAACTCACTGCCATGTCATTCTTCAGGTCTTGAGGCCCTTCTCTGGTTTATCTTCTCTTTATCTTTAAGAATCTTCTTACGTTTAGGGCACCTGGGTGGCTCAGTCGTTGGGCGTCTGCCTTCGGCTCAGGTCATGATCCCAGGGAGCTGGGATCAAGCCCCGCATCAGGTTCCCTGCTCCGCGGGAAGCCTGCTTCTCCCTCTCCCACTCCCCCTGCTTGTGTTCCCTCTCTTGCTGTGTCTCTCTCTGTCAAATAAATAAATAAAATCTTAAAAAAAAAAAAAAAGAATCTTCTTACGTTTATTTGATGTATAATACTGAGGAATTTTTGGCGTTCTTAGTGGGAGGAATATAGAGAATTGAGTCTACCTCAACTTGTCCAGAACTGGAATCTGCAGAATAGATTTGCTTTAGCTTTTTTGTCTAAATCACATACCCAGAGCCCCTTATTCTATTATTTTCTCCAAGTATCAAAAATATGAACTTGTTGTCTGAGATTTCCTAGCTTTTTTCCTTCTCTAATTTTATTTTTTAAATTTTAAAATTAAATTATTTCCATATTTTAACTAATAAACTTTATTTTCTAGAGCAGTTTTAAGTTTGCAGCAAAATTGAATGGAAAGTGCAGGGTCTTCACATATCTCCCCCCTTGCCCCACACAACCTCATATACCATCAACATCCCAAATCAGTGTGTCACATTTCTTACAATCTATGAACCAGCATTTACCCATCATTGTTGACCGAAATCCATAGTGAATCATTAGGATTCACTCTTTGTGCTGTACATTCTATAGGTTTTGACAAATGTATAATGACATGTATTTGCCATTATAGTATCATACAGAACAGTTTCACTGGCTTAAAAATCTCCTCTGTTTCACCTATTCATCCCTCCCACCACTCCCTGGCAACTGAGGCTCTTTATACTATGTCCATAGTTTTGCCTTTTCCAGAATGCTGTATTGTAATCACAATATGTAGCCTTTTCAGATTGGCTTCTTTCACTTAGTAATAGGCATTTAAGTTTCCTCTATGTATTTTCATGGACATACATGGTTGTTTTAATTTGCATTTCCTGGATGACATATGATGTGGAACATCTTTTAATATTCTTATTTGTCATCTGTATATCTTCTTTGGTGAGATGTCTGCTCAGGTCTCTTGCCTATCTTTTAGTTGAGTGGTTCACTTTCTTATTGTAGAGCTTAAAGAGTTCTTTGTATATTTTGGATACCAGTCCTTTATCAGATAGGTGTTTTGCAGATATTTTCTCCCAGTCTGTGGCTTATCTTCTCATTCTCTTACTGGTATCTTTCGCAGAGCAGACATTTTTAATGTTAATGAAATCCCACTTACCAATCTTTTTTTCATGGATGGTGCTTTTGGCGTTGTAGCCCCACTTTTATTTGTACCTTCTCTTTCCTTTATTCATATTGATCCTTTCTTCTTTGATTGGGTTTATACTCCCAGCAGTTTCTCATCAATGTAAGCTTTTGTCCTGGAAAGGCTTCTTGTTGGTTAGTTTTAAGTGTTCACAGAGCCCAGACAGCTCCAATAACTTCAGGTTTTGTTGCTATCCACCTCGCAGTTTTGGCTGCTGTGCTCATGTTGACCTGCTGCACTTTTCAGTAAGTACTCCTTACGGTTTTGAGGTTCTTATTTCACAAACCCATCAGATCTCTGGTTGCCTCCCCCACCCCCCCGCTTTCCCTCATACAGATGCTAGTAATATGTGGGTCTTGGACCTGTCAATAGTTTGTACTTGCCTGCTTCTATTTTGGTAGTTTCTGTGGATAGCTTATCACTTAGTTTTGTTATAGATGTGTGTCAGGTTTGACTGTGCTATTATAGTTGTTCTACCTGTACTTTTGGGAAAATTTCAGGAGATTCTAAAACCCTAACACCATTGCTACTATCTTCCTAGAATCCCTTGCTATTTTACATTATATTCTCCTACTTAACATTCTCAAAGCTGGCATACTCTGGCTCATATTACCTTGGTTTCATTCACATTCAGCTGTTCTCCATGAAGAATATAAAATGTTTGCTTTCATAGAGAGACTGTGATGGACTTACTGTAACACATCACATGTACACAGGTGCGTGCACACACAGACAAGAGGCCTTCAAATCAAACCTACATTTGTGTTATTGTTCTGTCACTTACTATTGTGGGCTGAATCGTGTTTCCCAAAAGAGATACTTTAAAGCTGAAACCTCAGAAGTGACTGTATTTGGAATCAGGACCTTTAAAGAGGTGGTTAAATGAAAATAGGTCATTAGGGTGGGCCCTACACTAATCTGACTGGTATTCTTATAAGAAGAGGAAATTTGGATACACAAAGAGGCACCAGGGATGCACATGCACAGAGGAAAAACTCTGTGAAGACATAGCAGGAAGGTAGCCAAGGAGAGGCTTCGAGAGAAACCACCCCTGCTGACCTATTGATCTTAGACTCAAAGCCTCCAAAACTATGAGAAAGTAAGTTTCTGTTGTTTAAGCCACTCACTCTGTGGTATTTTTCTATGGCAGCTTTAGCAAACTAATAACGTTTAATATCTTTGCAAATGTGGAAATCTCTCTGAGATATATACCTTTTGCTACTGAGGACTTTTCTAGAGATCAAATGTGAAATGTAAATATATACATATTATTTATTTAAATATTAAAAATATTATTTTCTTTTGTAAAATAATTAGGATGGGCATGAAGAGGAACTAGATAGCTATGTAAAAACAAATATCTTAAAAGACATGAATATG